TGGGGGATGAAAAGTCATCAGGATGCCATTTGCAACAGACCCAGCAGTGATAATGAGGAGCTAAACTGTAACAGTGGGGAGTCAGACACATGGCACGGGAACTGTCAGAACCAAAACCTGGTCTCTAGTTCACTGATCTTGGAATGGTATACAGAATGGCTTTGCAGAAAGATCTTTATCATGGAATTTCTAAGCCTTCTCTTTAAAACTACTTTTGTCCACAATGCTTGATTATTTTTAGGTCTAATTTCATGCTATTAAACAAACCGTGGCCCTAAATGAATAATTTAATAGTATCAACCAGCACAGAATTTAGGCAGGTAACTACGTGATTTAGTATAGCTGTATTAAAATATGAAACTTAAGTTTCCTAATCCAGAAAGAAAATACTTTAGCACAGAGAAAGTGCTAGGATTTGAAATGTACTCTTTTGTAAAAGTAATAAGCTATTCCAAGACACAAATTTACAGGACAAAATCCTTACAAGTGAGCTTCCAAACAAGCTTTTTAAATAAAGCTCCATCAGAGAAGTAATTTAAGAAGCCAGATTCACATTATATTAACGTGACAAGTATTACAAGATAAATACATCACATGATTATAAAATGACATTATTAATGTAGCTTATGTGACACATTCCTATTAATGATCTTTTATTATGTGTGAACAGTAAAATAACATTAGATAAGCAATAAAAAAATCCAATCTGCAGCAGCTTTCCTAAAGGTTTTGACTGTAGTCTTACTTACACAGTGTTATCTGATACTAATCCCTGGATTTTAAAGGGCAGAAATCAATCACTTCAGAATTGTAAACAAACATGTTCCTATGAGATGAGCATTTTAATTACTATCTCTTCTTCAAATATAAGATAAAAATAATGTGCTACATGATAGCCTCTTAATGTAAAAATAGGGGGAAGTATATCTTGCCAGGCCAATAAGATTATGTTAATAAACAGATCATGACATGGATCAGGAGTCTGGTCCATGGAGCCTGGTGGTGTGTCTTAACAATGACTGCCATGGAGATTTTGTGAAAAGTGTACTTGCCCCCTCCCTCCCTGATGGTGTCTACAAAAGATTAGAAGTGAGTGCCCAAATAGTCTGGTTTCTTTAATAATCCACTACAGTCTAATATCTATGAATCAACTGAAATATTTTAACCTTTTTACATTTAAACTTCATACCACCTCTTAGAATAAAGTCTAAAATTACAAGTTTTACAAATAGTTCTTGTTTACTTTTACATCAGATAAATATTTATTGAACAACTATATTATCTTTGGCACCAAAAAAGAGGTGTGAGATATGGTTCCTATATTCAAAGAGCTTGAAGTATAATTGAGAGGCAGGATATATACATAAAGAGATAAAGGTATACATAAAGAGATATAAAGGTTACTATCAATAAAAGACCATCAGCCTAAAAAGGCATAGGTTCTAAATGCTCCAAGAATTCAGAGGTAGATGAAATCATTGTGTTTCTTCAAGAAGAAGGGGAGAGAAGAAGAGCATCTTGGTGCTGATATCAAGAAATGAGGGAGCAAAGCTATGGCTAACCTTCATATACTGGGAGCATCTGAGCTCTCAGGCTTTATCTTTCTTGAATAAAGAGCCCTGGTTATCAAAATTCCCAAATACAATAGTGAAGAACACATGTCTTAAAGTAAATAAGGCCTAGGCTAATCTTAGCTCTGATGCTGCCACGCTGTGTGATTCTAAGTAAGTCATTTCACCTCTCCAAATCTATTTCCTTATCTGCAAAATGCAAATTGTAACACCTACCACTTCATTAGAAAGATATAGAACAAGCAGAGATGCCTAACATAGACCAGGTACATAAAAAATGGCACCTGCTATATGCATGATATTAAATTCCATTCTTACCATGATGCAATCACAACTGCACAGAATCTTGCTATTAGGGGAATTACAGGGCTCTTAGTGGGCGGCCCACTGTACTCTGGAAGACTGGGCCTAAGCTCCTCACTAGTCCTGAAAGTGTAACATGATTATGTTCTGGTAGTTTCTTTGTAAAAAGGTGGCAGACCCTAATTGAATCCTCCAGAGCCCACATTCTAAATTTTAGTATTTATTTTAACCCAGCAATTATGCAGAGAAAAGCAGAGTGAAGAGCTCCCCTTCAATCATGTACCCCAGCTGCATGCTCAGTTAGAAACAAAGACACCTAGAACCTATGGTGATTCTCTTACAGTGAGACCACAATGAACAAAAGCCAGCAACGGTAGAGGCTGATCGGGCACCATGATAGCAAGTTACCAACCAATCCTAGTCATGACGCCCAGCTACAGACAAATGTTGCTTAGAGCAGCATTCTGTGGATGATCTTCCTAGCTTTGTTAAAATCACATCAATGCAGTCTCACTTTTCATCTGTACTGTAAATGGTTTTTATGAAACAGTTTGGCAAAACACATGGCATGTGACTGTACCACTACAAATGTGTTAGCAGACTCAGCCAGAAACCATGGCAATGATCTGATCATGTGAGTATTCTTACAAGAGTAAGAAAATAAACTTAATCTTTGTAAAGACTTACTGGTGCCCTACCAGAGTTTAATACTGAGTCTCTTCCATGGAAGCTTCCATTTCCAATGTAGAAGCAAGAATTGTTCTCAAGCCACCACCAAATAATCATACAATATTTGATGGCTCAGCTTATTTTTTAATCTTCTATGAACTCTGCAGAATTATATCTGGATCCTTATAACATGATTTGGGATTATGAATACAGTGAATAAACACAACCTTCTGGTATAGCAATTTAAGCATCAGAGAGTAAATACTGCAGAGTGAATCCTAACACTTGAAACAGAATCTTCCAGAGTCCAGAAATCCACCTGACTGCCAAGAATAATACTTCCGTGGTTCAAGCAATACCAGTACCCCAGAGGGGTTTCCACAGACATAACCACATGAGTTACTGCATATTGGGTAAAATAGAAAAAACAGACATTTATGAATGCAGAGTTTGCAGACATTTTAAAAGTACTCATAAATATGCAATTTACAAATATAGAATAAATGGGGGGGGGCTTCAGTAATACACAGCATCTGTTTAAACTGCTTAACTATATGGTTTCTTCCATGGGTTTTCCTCATCCTAATTCTGATTTTTATGAGGATCTGGGGGAAGATACATGGATGTCTTAACTAAAATAAATGAAACCAATCTCACTGAAAGAAGCTCTATGATGAGAACTAATATATGAGAGATTCTGACTTCGGGATGAGGTAGAAATGACTTAGTGTCAGAGGTCAAAATTGAATCAGATATCAAAGAAAACCTTCCAATTCACCAGGCTATACTGAAACAGGGTTTGTTAGATTCTTCAGCAATAAAACAAATGCATAATATCTTTTCATGCATTTCACACCATTTCTATTTCAGCTCTGATGTAAAACATGGTATCACACATCATGCCACAAAGAAAGAGTCAGTTTAGCTAGTTCAAGTAAAACACCAGGCAGCTGCTAACAGAGACAGGTCATGGCTGGGGAAGGGCACAGCACATTCAGTTCACTACGTTTTCCCTCAGAAGAATGTCAATAAAAACCACGGCCAACTGAGGTATTGG